GGTGCACGAGTCACGTCCGACAAAGTCTAGTTGAAGAACTCATCTCCTCGCGAAAGCATCAGCCCGGCTTTGCACAGCCAGAGCAATCCACATTCGAGAGGCACCGCAAAGTAACGAAGTGCGTGGCTCCTTATACTTTTTCACCCTCTCACCCAAACATGCTGTGTATGTATATACATCTATATCTGTGTATCTGTATATGAGTATCAATGGTATTACCATTATCATTATCGTTAGTATTACTATAATGACTTCTATTTTTGTTATCGTTACACACACGTTTTACGTAATTAAGCATACATGTATACATGCGTATACAGGCATACGTGTGTGTATATGTATGTCGGTATGCGAATAGATATATACACACCATCATCCATACATCCTTCAGCCAAATTGAACATATTCAGGCCCCCGCAATTCGGGCAGCGCGAGCTCAACAAGACTTCCCACGCCCAAAGATCTGCAAACCATCTGCCCCAAACCCCGGGAGCTGCAAAGACCCTACAAACCCCAAACTCGAAACCCTGCATGCCCTTAATCCCGACCTCCGTAAAGCCGTAACCGTTATGAGTCGTCAAAACCGTTGTAGAAAATTTATAGGAAACCATTGGAGAACCCTGGTTCCGCCTCGGTCTGCTCAAGGAAAGGAGTGGGCTCTCCCCAGGGCAACGGTGGCAGAAGGCTGTCGAACAACTCAGCCTCTCAGGGCTTGAGGTTCGGGCCTCTAGGGTTTCGGAGCTCACACTCGGACAATCCAGGCGACCAGGGTTTAGGAAGGATTAGGGTTTGGGGATTATGGTCTTTAGGTTCATGAGTGTTCTCGTTGTCTTGGGGTTGAGAGCTTGAGCACTTCCTAGCGGCTTAATGATCATGTTTGCTCTTGAAGGGTTTGGGGGGGTTGAGGCTTAGAGGTTGGTGGGGTTAAGGGGGGTTAAGGGGCCCAGGTGGGGAACCTGCTGAAGATGGTACTCAGGTTCGGTGAGACCACAGAACGTAGACTCGGTCGTCCAGAGCCTACAGGCGAACCTACAGTCTTTTATGCTGAGCTGCTATAGCTTCTGAGGCCACTGAGAAGCCTTTTGCCCGGGTGTTGTTCTAAACTCTGAACGTCCTCTTGCAGGCTGGCCATTAGGACAACACTTCTTGTTATAAAAGGCTTCGACATAACATAGCCTAACTTAAGGCGGTCTTGGGGACAGGGCTTTGGACAGCCATCAACTCGAAAACAAGTCGTAGGATGCTGGCAACATGGAGCATAATAAAGCGCGTTTCGGGCCGCGCAGGTTTAAGTTCACGCACCCTAGAGATCCCGAACTCGATGAGATTCCCGCCTCCGACTTTTTCACATCCGCCCGCCGGCCGTCTTCAACGGCCCGGACGGAGTCGCTGGAGGTCGAGTCAAGGCCTCTTCCACTGCGAGGGCGTTTGGAATATAGGATTGTTCGGGGTGTTTAAACGAGGACAACGACTATCCTGACCCTAGAATTGCATTAACAAGAGCTAGCATTGATGCGACCGCTAGCAACAAGTACTGAAACTACTATCTGGTACTGGTAATAACCGATACTGAACACAATCACTAAGAACTATTGTAATAAGATGCGAAAAACAAGGAGGCTCTGGAGTTGGGGTTTGGGGATACCTTAGGCCGATAAGCTGTGTGATTGCCCTGCTGCGCCTACGGCCATTACAACTTCCAACGGGTCACAATACAGACTGGCCTTCTAGCTTGCGTTACACCGACAGACACACCGAAAGGAAGCTACACAACTGCTTCCGCTTCCATTGTCATTTCGAGTTTAAGGAGAGGGCCGAGAGGGCTCGCGAGCCAGCTGAGGCTCGGAAACAAACTACCTTAACCCCACTAACACTAGTACCAAAACCTACACCTGAAGCTCCGAGCCTTTAATTTTGAGCCAAGTCCCGTGCATATCAATTTCCGGCTTTGCTAATTTGTCGGCGCGTGGGATCGCACCACTTTGCGGTTTGGGGTTGGCATCTACATGATGAGAGAATTCCCTCTAATGATGTTCATCAAAGCTGTACTCGTCACCAGCATCGCAACTCTTCGTAGGACAGCTTTAAGCAAGAGACCCACGTCCTTCGTGCGCTACAGCCTCACAATCGCAGACCAAATCAACATGCTTACGGCCGCAGGTCTCTTTCTATTTTTTCAAAGTAAACCCCCAACCGCTATCCTCGATACAGATTTCTCGTGCAGCCCAGGAACTCAGCCGACCTGCTCGGCAGGCGCCCCCCTCTCGCAACAGCACATGTAATGGTAATCATATGTTAGTAGAAATACTCATTGGAGAAGTAATCGTCGTCGTAACGGCAGTTAGCAATACTTTCTGCAATATAGTTCATCTTGTACAGAAAATTTGAGTTGAAGGCTTGGAATGCTCCTTGTGAGAGTAACCTTCTCCCACATAGCCCGCGCAGCCGGCTGTATATGAATGTGGTCTCAATCCTAGGCAATCCAGCTGGACGAGACGAGGCCTGCTTAGCGATGTCGACTCTGTCAGGACTCCGGTTGAGCTTGGGTGTATGAAGTTTCAGGGCTTTCGGCTTCGTCCCATTATTGCCGCTGTCTCGGACGATCACTTGATAGTTTTGGGGATCCATGCTGAGGCTACACACCCGCAGGGGATGGCCGGCAAAGGTTGCAAAGCTTAAGAATTGACTTGAGGATGTTTTGGGCTGGAGGTTCGCCCTCGGTCTTCTAACACTCCGGATGTTTCCGTCTCACTTTCCAGGAAAACCCTGAAGCCTGTTTACGCTCTCGCAACTCGGACAAACCAGACGAGGTCTCTCGGTGCATAAGCACTTTGACCGGTCGGTGTTAGAGCTGATAGGGGATGGAGTTGCTTCCTGAATACACATGCCAAGACTGTGAGTCTGAGGCAAGGATTCCTTGCACAAAGAATCTCTGCACGGCAGACATCATCTGAAAGCCTGAAACTCGAAAGCCGGCCGAATGCCCCAGCAATTCCCAATGCAGGTGCAATAATCTAGACGCGAAACTCAACCGAAGAATCGGAATCCCAAACCAATTCGACGACTCTGCCTGCTTCGTTTTCCCAGGAAGGGGCGCAAAGCACAGGACCACAGTCGAACTGTTCAGGCCTGGCTTCGAGGATGGGGTCGCAAAGTGGCAGACATGCTGGCCATCTTGTCATGTAGCAATGATCCGCTTTATCTTAGGCTTTAGAGGTGGCCACCGGAAGAATCAGAGTCATGCCTGAGCATTACCTCATGCAGCTCATGTTTACGAAATCCGGAGCTCTGCGGCTTCCAGTGTGGTTCCCACCGAATTTTTGTGGACACCAGGCCCGTCGAAAGCCGTAGCCGTAGACTCTGCTAAGCCTTGAAGGATTTGGGGTTTGGGCGGCGTAATATATAGAAAGGTACATTGGTAGATAGATAAGAGACAAACAGTCTCTCTCTCTCTCTCTGTCTCTCTGTCTCTCTCTCTCTCTCTCTCTTTCTCTCTTGCTGTCAGAGAACAAGAACACAAATACAGTCAATGATGTCATGCAAAAGTGCTTGCATTGTACCTCTAGCAGCTGCAACAAATAATCAAGCCTATGATAAGCAGACAGCAACCACACATGCAGTGTGTCAAGCTGCAGCAATATGACAGGCTGCAAATCATAAAGCCCGTCGACAGCCACAATGGACGATGATGTGCAGCCGTGCCCAAATCTTGTCAAACTTGGATTTTCCGTAACCGTTTAGTCAAATTACGAAGTGTGTAGCGGCACCAGCGGTACAAAACTATCAACAGCTGGGCAAGTCGCCCCGAACACTTTAACCAAGTGAGACCGTTGAGCCCAGAGCCCATGCTCGTGCTAGCAGTAGGCATTGTTGGTAGTGCTAGGCATCGTCTTGTTTAGGCTCCTTCTTACCTATGGCTACACCATCTGTGCCAATCACTGAGGGGATGGCCCAAAACTTTACGGACCTTCATCTGCATGAAGTCTCCTTGCAGGCTGCAAAATGTGAGTTCCGGTTGGAAGGACTGGAAGCTGTGCGACGGTCCGCTTCAACCCTGCAGCTTGTCGATGCCGTTGCGAGTTACCAGAGATGCGGTGGTACGAACTCGAGGTGATGGAGCTGCCAAAGCCACTTGCGAATAGCATTGGGAGGTCAACAATCAGCATTAAGGGCAATCTGAGAGATGATTGTCCTTCGTAGTACGCGAAAGCGTCATGGTGGATGGCCCGCTCTTCACGTTGGAGAACCTGCAAAGCATGCTGCAGGGCATGTCTCGCAACGTTCTGGGTCTCGTCTCAAGAGCGATACTATAGAAAGCACCACGCAACGCATGCAAGCGCTCGTAGCAGAGTAAGCAATTCAGTTATCGAGACCAACTTCAGATCATGCACATGGCCATGGCAAACGAGAAGAACACGGCTGTCGGGGATGGTGTTTGTCTTGTTCCTTGGGAAGTTATAGGTCTCGTGGAAGATTTAAAACCTGACAGAGTGCTGCTACTCGTAGCGGTGGTAGTAGTAGTAGTAGTAGTAGTAGTAGTAGTAGTAGTAGTAGTAGTAGTAGTAGTAGTAGTAGTAGTAGTAGTAGTAGTAGTAGTAGTAGTAGTAGTAGTAGTAGTAGTAGTAGTAGTAGTAGTAGTAGTAGTAGTAGTAGTAGTGGTAGTAGTAGAAGTGACAGCAGGAGGAGTAGCGGTAGCGGTAGCGGCAGCGGTAGTTCGTACTCGCACGCCTCTGCTGCATGGGCGACTTCCATCTTGATCTCGCTTTGGACTGCCTCATCTCCGATGGGCGGCTTCGAGGTTCAGGGCTCAGGGGGCTCGGAGTCCAATGCCCTATGCTTTCAAGGCCTGTAAAGTTGTGGATCCGGGTCTGGGGGCGGCTGAGATCCGGCAGGTCCATGTGCAAGCAAACGGGCCGAGTGACTCGGACGTGGGCGAGGTCAGCAGATTCCCTACAGAATATCTCAGGAGTAGAGGGTCACAACCGACCCCGCCGCCAACATCATAGGGCTCTCATTGTGGACCTGTACTTCTGCTTGCTTGCGTAGTTCAGCTTCGCCTGAGACCCAGTACCTGCAACCCGAACACACAAAACCCATATCGAACCCTACATTCAGACCGAAGCACAATTTCTATACCGTACACTCTTTCTTGTGCCTAGAGCCGAATAAGCAAAGACCCTATCCTGACAAAGTCGCCAAGCGCTGTTGCTTCTCTGCTTCGCTCTCCATCTTCCTGGGCATGGAAGGGTTGAGAGTTTTAAGGTCAGTCCCGGAGCACAGAGTCGAGGATGTTTTGGCAGGATGTGCGGGGAAGTTCGAGTTCGGGTAGTCGGGGCGGGAGGTTGTGGGAGTGCTTCGAGTGCACATAATGGATCGGGAACAAATCGATAAAGCCTTCAATGCCTTCAAGAACCCCAAAACCTTGCAGCCCTCGGGCCCTGAGCTGAAGTTGAAATTCCAAACCCTGGGTCCGCGGCCTCTTCTGTGTAGGGGGGCAGGCTCCTAAGTAGGGTAACACGATCGTAGAGCATCCGCGACCATGCCGATAGATAACTTCTCCAAGTAAAATCGCACGGCTGACCCTGAACTCAGCCGCGGGAAAGTTGAACCCGAAACCCCAAAACAGAAGAGACCCTCATCTGAAACAATAAAGTTCAGCAAACCCCGAACCCCGAACGCTGAACACTCCGAGCATCTTCCCCATTGAGAGCCACTCCTCTCGATCGGACATGCTGGCAGCCTTGAGAAGCTCATCTTCGCCTGGTGATCTGGGGCTCAATCCCTTTTTGTAAAGACAGTTTAAGGATACGCGAATAAGGGCTGCTAGAAGTAGAGAAAGGCTTCGGGTTCAGGCTCGTTTAGGGCTAAAGTAAGCCTCGATGGGGTTCCAAAAGAGTTGCTGTACGGGTACTATCGACTTTCGGCCCTGTCAAAGGTACTTTTAAGGGTACTATGGGGCTTAGGGTCGAGGGTCTTGGCAGCACAGTAAATACACGGAACTCCAGGGTTTGGAGGTCTCCTATCAAGGTGTCTTCGGGGTTTCAGAGAGCTGAGAGTATTCGGGAAATGTGGGAGGACTCGGATGATTTCGCGCCATGTATATGGCTACCCCTGTGCTGCCCCGTAGCCATGTCGCCCGATATTTCTAAAGCATGGAGCCCAAAGTACCATGCTCCACTACGCAATCGACCCTGAACTTGGGCTGCAGGCGGCTTTCACGTGCCACATGGGAGACATGTCGATGTCTTCGGTTTCAACACTAACAGCAAAGAAGCCCATACATACGTCTATACACTAATCCGGAATCCGCAACCCTGTTTGAGTCACGGTCGTTTGAAGAAGCGTGTTGGAAGTCGCAGCCCCCGAATCTGGTTTTTAAGCCCCTGGACTCACTAGCCAGACCAGACCACGACCTGCAACCCTGGAACCTAAAACCCGGACCCAAACACCAACGAGCCTTCACTCTAAGGGCTAGTGAACCAGTGGAGAGGGTAGACGCCGTTCTTTGTCAGCACATGCGAGACATAACAAGAACCCAGCGTCCCCCCGCTCCGGATCCGAAACCAAAATGTCCTTCTTGGACAACAGCGCCGAGGGCGGACGAAGCCTCCCGGAAGCAGCCATTTGCTTTTGTGAAGTACGGCTTTTGAGGAGATATCCAAGGGGTTCAGGGCGTTAGGTCTGCACTGGCTCTGGCACTCGATGGCGTCAGGCGAGGCTCTAGGGCCACCAGCGACTCTCAGACAACAGAAGAGTACGCCTTACGAGCTGGTACAGTCCTGCATGTTGTACCACAGGCCACTCTGCAAAGGTCTAGGAAACCTCGAAGACTGGTTTTTTGGCACTCACACTTGGACAAAGCCTGGCAAGACTGGTTTAGGGTTGGTCGACTCCGAGCTGAACACATGTCAACACTCATTGCATCTCATTCCATCGTAGGGCCCTTGTTCACTGCCCCAACACCTGTCTACCTGGACCGGACATGGAAGAAGCCTAGGAAGTCGGGAAACTCCAGACCCTCAAAGCAGAACCATGAATATTCCAAATATTCTGTTGAAGCATGCCTGCTCCTGGTTGTTGCTGGCAGGCTTTGCTGCTTCGTCCCCAGCCTCTCAGGCCAGCACAGCTTGAATTTCAGGGCCTTGTAAGGTTCGGTGGGTCTTCTGCTTCGGAAGGATGGACTTGCAAGAGCGCTGTTTGAACAAAAACGCATCTCGTTTCTTGGGGTTCAAAAAAGTCTAAGCTTCTCTGGACAGTGGGGCTTGAATGTGCTGCGACATGACGAGGAAGTCCTCCTACTTACTCATCCAAGCAAAATGTAAGGCGGCCAGAATGGGGGTTTGCAGCATAGTGATTCTGGCTTCTGGCGGCCAGAAACCATAATCATTAAGCCGCACGCCCTCAAGATCCCCAAGCCCTACATGGATCAATGTAGGTGAAGACCAAACCACTTCAAGCTCAAGGCAAGGAGGGAAAGATGCAGGCGCATCAAACCATGGATTCCGGCTTAGAGTAAGGCCAGATTTCATAAACGCTAAAGTCCCACAGCCTGACACGAATTGCGACCAGACTGCACCCACTCCATGCCGCCCCCCCCCGAGAACACATTGGGCGTTTCGCGAAACTTAGAGGGTTTCTTTGGATCGGTGCTTTCTGCTAAGAATAGCGCTGCTAAACTTGGGCATGCATTGAGCCCCGTCACAATGCCCGAATAGCCGGCCTGTGTAGCAGCCGAAAGGTAGTCCCAATCTATTGTCAGTATGAATGCTTGACCATCCGCGGTCGTGTGCATGTGCATCGCAAATTCAACAAAGACAGCACAGATATAGAGTCCCGGGCATGCTGCCCAAGAGATTAAATGATGGCCCCCGAATGCCTAAACCCGGAACCCAATCCAGTCTCTAAAACGCCAAAATCCCAGTCCTAGTCCTAGGATTCCCAAATCTTGGAAGCAACAGCACGATCGAGTTCGAACCAAGTTGCAGTCTCCCCCTCGCCACCTGGGCTGCTGAAACTTCGTTCGGTTTAAGCTTTCACACCAGCACCACGACGACTACTACGAGTACGGCTACGACCACGACGAAGACGGTGACGGCTGCTGCTCGCTCTTCTGCTACTGCTGCTAGTGCTCCTGCTCCTGCTCCTACTCCTACGACTACACTACGACTTAGACTACTCCTGCTCCTAGACTCCTACTCCCACTCTGACTCCTACTGCTACTACAACAACTGCCACCAAGAAGAAGGTAATTGTGAATCATCTCTGGCCTTCTGGACCTATAGAACTTGGAATGGTGAAGCTATGGAAGCAAGTTCCAGACTTCTAGACTTGTGGATAGCATGGTATCGTGGAGACGTGGACTGATGCAAACGGCCACAATCCCGTGCCAAGACATGACAGATGTGAGGTTCCTGAGGGTGCAGGATGGAGGGTGGCATATACGTATGCACATACATACATACATGCATGGGTATTTGTATGTAGGTACACACACACACACACACAGAGGTCTTCTGACAAGGTGCCGGCCGAATCGCTCGAGAGCACGGCGAGATCCTGTCAGGTCGGGCTCTTCAGAGGCTTCGGGTTATGCCGCACCCACGTCATTTCATGAAGCCTTCAATCCTTATATCGATTTGTAGTTTGTGCGTATCTGTATGAGCTGAAGATATTCAGTATGTGGTATGTGTTGCTGCAACTTCTACACGACACATGACTACATGCTGCTCTCGACTGTATACACCACTATGCAAACACGCACGTATGTGTATACATACATATATCCATCCATCCATGCCTGCCTACATGCATATGTCGATTAGGATTCGACTTACATATATGCATATGTGGGGGTGTTTAGTTGTGTTTACATGTGTACGCATGTACACTGTACACCATTTCGTGGGGGGCCGCTTCGCTGCTTGGAGACCACTAAGGTTGGGAGGGTTAGCTATAATTCTGCGTAATAACTACCATCACATGGAGGTTTCTTGGATGGATGCTCTTCGTGCCCTCACGCTGCTCCTCCCCGGTCTGGCTTTCAGCTGCAAGGTCCGCGTCCGTGCTGGGCACGGGGATGCCATACTTGCTGTCCTCGTGCTTAGTCTCGGCCCATGTTTCGAAGAGAAACAGAGGGATCGCGGTGATACCCTCATATGGGGTTGAGTATCTATACATAGAGTTCCGGCCTCGCCTCATCTTTCGACCGCATCTGACAACATTTTCTGCAAACCTCTACTCAACAGAATTGTAAGACGCAACAGCTTCTGATAGCTTCTGTCTTGATCACGCATTGCCATGCATCCGGCCGGGATTCTGCGGTGATCAGGCTGGAGCTCCGGAAAGAAAGCCAAGGAATCAGTCAAACAACAAACGCTCACATGATACTGTTACTATACCGCATCAATATACTGAACGACAGCCCCGGCCTCCTCGGACACCGGCGGTGCCGGTGTGGCGCTCTCCGTCTCCTCGGCCACTTCTGTGGAGACTTCGACAGCTTCGCTGACCTGGACTGGTGCTGCAGGGGCCTCTGCTTCTGCGGCCTCTGCGTCTGTCCGCTCTGTCGGTTCTGTCACTGCCGGCTCGGCAGGCAAAGGAGTCGTGGTCGGCCCGTCCGTCAGCACGGGTGGCGGAGCTGGAGGGTCAGTCTCAGCAGCTGTTGGCATGGCCGGTGGCATGGCTGGTGGCACGGCTGGAGGCATGGCTGGAGGCATAGCCGGCGGCATGGCCGGGGGCATTGCCGGGGGCTGCGGTGCAAGCGCAGGTGGTTGTGGAGGCTCCGGCGGTGAAGGCGGAGCTTGCCCTCGACACGAGCTAAAGATGCTGAGTATCGCGGCGAGCCATGCCACGCCTGTGATGGACACATGGCTGCGCATCGCTGACCTCTATGTGACCACCCGGTCTTCTCAGCCAGCTCGAGTCCCAATCCTTGTAATGCTTGCATCTGCTGCTGTAGTAATGGCTGTCTTTTAAGTTTCATCGGACTCTTTGAGCTTTGTCCTGGAGCTTAATACTGGAAGCTTGACCCCCAGCCCGAACATGCCATCTTGACATGTCAAGGCACCTGAACCCTGACGGCACAAGTTTCCGAGCCTGAAGAATGACAGTCGCTGAGCTGTCTCGGACATGTCGTGGAACGCATGTGTTCGGCTTTGCCTTCTATGCTTCGGGCCGCAATTCTGCCAACGGAAACCCTAGAAGCGAACGAGCACACAAAGCTTGCCTGGGTTTGGGCCCGGGCAACCGGGGCTTTCAGGCGTAGTATGGGTTTAGGATGTTTCAGGGTTTGAGCAAACCTACGGCAATTCGAGGGCTGCCCCAGGGACCCGAACTCGGATTTCACATACAACAGGCCGCACATCAGTCGCAACGATGAAAGCACGCAGGATCCAATTAAACGTAGCCCTTTTCTACGCGAGGGAGCCGGTATGCTACTTCAGATACTGTGGCAGGTCGGGCTTGCTGCTTGTTGAATTTGTGCCTAGGTCCAGGGATTGAAAATCAAACCCCATAGTGCAATAGTCAGGGTTCCATGATGTCTAAGCCACATATTGTAACTTTTCCTTTGGGCTGCGAGAATACAGGTCCTTGCATATATACCTACAGCATGTACTAACATACAAATAACTTATACCAACCATTGGCCCTTATCACCTAATTAGCGTCATGGATTCTCGTCTTTCGAATGTGCAGAAAGACAAGAAGCCGCCAAAGCCCGGCCCCAGATAGGCGTCGCACTACAGTACTGTACTTCGAAAGGAGAGTCATGAGATAAGCTATTCCGCACCAACACTGATGCTAAATGGGAACTTCAGAAAACAACAGGTGCGTACTTAGACACAGGTCATTAATAAAGACCCCAAAAGGAACCTCAAGTGTTTTTGGAAAATGATTGACATCCTTGTGGCATTTGGACCGGAGGACTGCGACACACAGCACTGCACCCGTCACGCGCAAACAAAGTTCTCGTGCGACCTGTTTGGAACTAAAAGCTGATGATGACATGCACCCGATAAATCAGCTAGCACGTCGCCTGCACATCCGGCGGTAATTCTTAGTACCTACAACTCTGTACTTCCCCATGTACTTTCCCTTCTTGAATCCATGTCAAGCCCCAATTTTTCAGTGTGAAGCTTGCTTCAACCCTGCGTAAACCCATACATACTAGATTCCAACAGCTGGAAACCCTTGAGCCTCAGTAGTTCAGGAACTCGTCAACCGTCCGACAGGGCACCTAATGGAGCTTTGGGGGCCCAGGGGCTTAAAGTCTTAAAGGTTCAGGTAGGAGTCAGCAAACTCCAAGCTCCTTAAACAGATCGTCTCAGCAACGTCCCGGTCGTTGCCTAGCTAATGAATCGCCTCATGGCATGACATCGACCTCAGTATAATAGAGGCCATGGTCCTGAACTCAAGCCCCCCGTCGTTCATCCTCCCTTGCCCCTCGATCCGGGGCCTGTGCGATGTCATTCTGTCGTCCGCAAGTACGCCATCACCTCTCACAGGCAAGTCCGAGATTCAGGCCCTCGGCCTATCGTAATTCAGGCAAAAGTTCTCCAACAAATATTGTTTATCAGCGACTGGTTGCTATGGTCGCTTGATGTCCTTATCATCACCGTGACCGTTCTTGTAACCATCACCAGCTACACCGCTATTACCATTGCCACGATCAGACCACCGAAGGCATGGCCAGGAGATGCCAGGTGGATCATCAGAATGACGCTTGTAACCGAGGTGCCCTATCCAGGTATGCCGGGTATCAAGTGATCACGTACATTGTGCTCGCTAAGCTTTTTCTCTCGCGAACATGGCTGCAAGGGCTTTCTGCGCGTCAAACATCTGCAACTCCTCCGAGAAGGGCATGGGAATATGGCTCTTGTTCAGGTGGGGTAACGAAGCAGAAAACCTATTATCCGGGAAACAGTACGAAAACCAGTAGAAAGGATGCGTTGGTTCAGGGATACTTGTATTGCCCAAGGAATAGGATGGAATAGGGTTTCAGGGAGATGCGTAGGCCCCAGCTACGTTACCCATTGAGATTAAACCTCCTTCGCACTGCAAACTCCTCCTGCAAACCTCCGGTTACTAAGTACAGTACCAGATCACGGCCGCACTTCGACCCGGAGTTTCCCAAAGAGCTCCTGCTGTCTTTGCGGAGCTTCCTCCTCGAACCTCGAGTATCAAGCTTGCGATGTTCCAGGCTTTCGCGTACAAACGGCGAACGAAACGCTTGTCCTCCCTTACATATTTCGTCTCCGACCTTGGGACCCACATCTACCAACGCTAGGAATCAGTTAAGTGTGAAGCTTGGATCAGCTCAAGTTCGGAGAAGAGCCCTGTCATGTACTGTGTGGTCCTGACTTCGTGTGAATCGGTTCACATGCCGCGGGCGTCGACTGGGGGAAACTGTGTGATCCATCAGCTCAAGCACATCCTTTACCCCCTTCTCTTTCTTCAACTATTATCGCTCGCAGGCTCGCAACAACACTACTGTATTGACAGGTTTGAACCAGCTTCCCAAAGGCAAGCTGCATGGACTCATGTAGGCTCTCGTTCTGGCAGGTATGGCCGTGTTAGAAAGATAGCACGCCAGGGATTTGTGGCCGAGACCCCTTCTGGGCCATCGTGGCCTGGATCCTCCTAAAACGCCTTCCGTCGACGCCACCAGGCACCCCGCTGATGGACACACTGCTGACGAGTCACTCTATGGCGAACATGACAGCTTGAATATATGGAAGCGATGCTCAATTTTCCTCACTCCTTCCCTCCAGCACTCTCTGTCGTACTCTTCCTTCATGTTTTCTCGTAGCGAAACCCACAATCGCTGGTTTCGATCTCTTTTTGAAGGATACTGTAAGTGGATTCGAAAACAAAACAAGCAACAACAAACAACAACTCCAGCGAGGAATCAATATGTCCAAAAGTTCCCAACAATCCCTGAACATGCCTCCACAAGCGCGGAAGCCACAATGCTCCGAGATTCACGCACTGCAAGACTGCTTCTTTCAAGTGCTTCATGGGATAACCAGGGCACTCTGGTCAGTTGATACTCCAGCTCAGTTTAAGGGTTGCGGCTTCGGGTTCGGTCCTATACTTCCTGGGCGAGGTTGGAGTCTGAACGCAACCCCTACACCCCAAACTGAAGTCCAGGTGGCTCAACTTCCAGGCGCACCCGCGGGAAAAGCGATGCCAGTGTGACCAGTGTGGCCAGCAGCGCGATATGTGTGGAGTAATGAACCTGCAGGATGTGCTCGCTGAAAGTCCCAGTAAGCGGGCTTTAGGCAACGGTCGAACGATTCACGCGGGAGGCAGGGGTCCAGGAATAGGTACGAGAGTGGCAGGGGACATTCTGAGCAGAGGTCTACTTACTTAGCACGACGCTTACCTTGTGTCACACGTCTCATTACCGGCTAACCAAGTCGGTTTTGAAGCATCTGTGCAAAACTTTGGAGAGGGATGAGAGAGCGAGGTGTGCAAAGAATCTGATGCAGAGGTACCCTGCAAGGAAACTTGCAGCCACACTCCCGAACGATTCCCCGACACACACACACACACACACACATCAACACACAGTCCCAGGACACTTGGAAGACCATGCCAATGCACTTTCAACTGGCCGGGCCCGGTCCGCAAACTTATGCTACTCGAAATTAAAGAACGGGTCGCAGCGCCTGCAGCCGAATCCAGCCCTCGCACTCTGATCGTGCAGAGCACGTGGCAGGACAGCGGGTCAGAAGCAGCCGGCCGACGTGCCTGCTGGAATCTCCAGGCTTCAGGATGCAAAACGCAACCAAAGACCTGGAACACCGCTGTGGAAGATTGAAAGTTCCCACACTAGACTGTCTATTGAGTCTTCTGCAACAGCCTTCACAGCTGTATCGTATTCGGGAGTAGAACGGCCAAGGACATTCGGTTTCTACACTTCCGAGCTGACTGAAGACAGTATACAGGCAGTCATAAGTGAATACATAAGGCTTTCATGTATTTTGTAGTATAGCTATAGTTACAGTACGGAACCCCAAGGAATAAGAGTATTAAATTGCGATACTAAACCCTAAGCTGCACCATCCTCAGGGCTCGTAGCTCTGCAGCCGCTGTCCGCGGCACGTCGCCTCTTGACCGCGGGAGTTGTTTGGATCTTGCAGAGTTTGGGGTGTCTGATGCTGACACTCGGACGCATCCAGGCAAGGTAAGGTGTAGGGTTTCTGTCGCCGTTTGGGCTTTTTGTCACTCACACTCGGACAAGCCTGGCAAGGTCTGCAGAAGTAGGTTCGAGGATTGCGTTAACACTCAACAAGCAGATTCGCTCGCAGAGCACACTGTCGGAAGGGACAACAGGAAACGCCAGCCACATGTAACAACCATAATTGTTTGTCCCATTGACAGCAGTCTCTCCACAAGGACACACGGCTATACCTGGTACACAAATAAGAACCCCACACCCTAGTTCATTCCCCGGAGAAACCAGTGAAACTAAACACCTAACGCCAGTTGGGCTTCCGCTGCTTGCGCTGTGTCAATCGTGTTACAGGCATCAGACAGACATCGAGCTTCTATCATGCAGGACAGTTTGGGGTTTAGGGTTTGGGTTCATTTTAGGCTTTCACGGTTTAGGTTTAGGGAAGGTCTACAGGAAGTTCTTGATAGTTCGGGAATTCTGCAAGGGACTTTACCAGACGGAACTCGGGGGCTTATAGGGCATTTCACGCAAATTCGTCCGGATGAGTCACTTTGTTAAAAGTTCGGAGTTCTACTGCTTCAATGCCGTAACCCCAAAAGAAACACGAGATACAAAGCCACGCGCCAAGCCGTCAAGAAAGGAGTCCGAGGATTCAGAGCTGTGCTTGCTGAGGATCGAAGATTTGGCCCCCCCTGCTGTAGATCCACCAGGCTCTACAACGCAAAAACCGCTCGACTCAAGACTGAAACAAGCAAAACCTTTTGGGGCTCTTCTTGTGGCTACTGCGCCGTCTACATCCTGACAGATTCAAAGAGCTGTCATTCCAGCTCTACAGTTCGTGTTCCAAGGAGAATAGTTACCAATCCGTCTGCGAAAGGGTGTGCATGGCAACCGCTCACAATCTGAATATACGACGTGTAAATATCTATACCCTGGCCTACACCAGAACGAGAAGTTGCGGTCAGGGTGCCTGGCAAGCGTGCCCCAGTGAGTCGCGGAGTTGGTGCGAAAACTCTTCCTGCGACATTGACAAGAGGGTATAGAACTGTAGGGGTTTAGGGGTTATTTCAGAGTGTTCTGCAGTGTTAGGGCTGTTAGGGTTTAATTAGAATGTAGGGCTATGAGTACAAGTTAGGTCCTTCGCGGATCACTCGAAACCCGGCTCCACTGCAAAGACAGTTCGGTCTTCGGAAACCTATGGCCGTGTGTGGAATCTGCCCTGCCTCATCATCCTGATAACCTGCCCAGAGCTTTATCAGCCTCGTCATTCGCTGCTGGGGTATGAAGAAGATGACGACGACACGAGCATTAACCTTCTCCATTCGTACACGCTACCTTTACTACACCGAGATCAAGATGCAATGGCAGCCAATGGCAGCAAGCACTACAAGTTGACAACTTCGATTCCACGTCGCGGCAGCTGCAACATTCATATGGTCGCTCCTGCTGTCAGCCTTCAGCTATGCTTGTGCTGCAAAGAAACAGAACCTAGTCCAGGAGCATTCTTGCTCGGATTCATCTTGGCTACTTCAATTCAAACTTGGATGGGTCCTGGCTCCATGAAGATTTCCTTCCGACGCCAGACACAGTAGCAAACGACGGCATCATCTTCCTCTTGCCACCTGCGCTGGCGGCTGCCGGACTGAAAGCTCGAGGGTCACTGGATTTCGGGCATAGAAGGAGCCACATTTCACTGATTTGAACGCCTTTACCGATGTTTTTCCACACACAATGCAGCACTGTCAGGTCCGGTCATTTCCTGACTCATCTATCTACATAGGTGAAGGTACGTGCATCTTGGAGAAGGGATGGGGTGTGGTGCTTTAGGAAACAGTGAAAGATGATGAAAGATGCAAGCTGATGCCTGGAATGCTGAACAACTGTGCCGCAACCTTATTTCACTAGTTGAGACACCGTCTTCCCTGGCCAGCCGGGCTCAAGAGCTGAACCGGTAGATAAGCAAATGCCCGGGAACGAGCTAGAACCCTACGATCCTGAAAATTACCATGAAATACCACAACAAAACCATCCAACTGGCCTGCTTTTGCCAAGCTTCTCGACACACCGTGGGCGAGCCACCCCGAGCCTGTGAATGCTGAGGGTCTGTAGCGTTGACGGTTCAGGATTTAGTGTTTGCTGGCTTAGACTTGCTCCTCGGGGTCGAGAGTTGGGGCTGTCTGTTGATCCAGGGGTTGGGCGGTTCACGATCTGTCGCAGAAGAAGCTGCAAGAACCATAGGTTTGGGTGAAGGATCTGGACGAGTGGACCACAGGTGTGGCGAGTTTCGGGTCAGGTATGGTTGTATCATTGCAAACGATTTTGGCCTCGCGGCTGCTGTGCGGTGTAATTAATGAAAAAGTGCAAGTCGCACACGTCGTTTACACAGCGGTATTTCGGGTGTTACGTTTCGCACATTACGACAATATCGGCATTTACACGGTTCCTCAGCTTGACGTGCCGAGAACTCCGAAAACACCGATATTTATGTTCCTCGGCTTCAGCCATTCACGAGAGTATCCGCGGCCAATCCATCATGGCGTCCGTGTGACCGGTGCATCCCCTCTTCAAAGCATGCATGCTGCATCCCTAGGCCCTCATCTGCAACACCCGGAGAAGCCGCAGCACATGTCTTGTGCTTGCGCAGCAATTTCTGAGTTTCAGATCCTACCCTTTCGTGCTGCGATGGCTTTACCATCTGTGCTGCCGCCGCCTACTACAAGTATTCAAAAGTTCGGTGCTGGCCATGCTCTTGGGCAAAAGTCGTCTCCGTTAGATACTCAAAGTATTCTAGCAATCCCGATTACACGTCTCGTCGAAACTCCCATATTTCGACATAGAAGTCTTGGCAGTTAACGGCTGCGACATCGAATCCCATCCCACCTTCGCAACGCCAGTCGCAGCGTCTCCGCTCCAGGAAAAGAAGGCCTTGTCGAGCTATGGAAAACTCAAAGAGTTGGTGCTGGAGGGTAGAAGTTCATTCAGTGCGGCGTTTAGAACAACAGGATCATGAAGAGCGCTGGGCCAAGTATGAAACCTGGACACTTGAACACGTGATGCCCCGGAGTGGTTGCTCGAATTGCATCACTCGCTGCTCGAGTCTTAAGCATGAGTCCGGGCTAGTCGAGCAAAATCTGGAAAACATACTTTGGCTTCAGGGCTAGAGTTTTCGGCGTCCTGCGAAAGGTTGAGGGCCAAGAGTGCTACGGAAGTGTCGGTTTCAGGGTGCCATAGATAATAGAGAAAGAACAGATGCGAGTTCTCGAACAGCTGCCAAATCCCGCTACCACCAGCATGAAGCCCAAGGCGCGGCCGCAGAAACATATGATGAGCAGCACCAAGACCTCAGCTTTCTGCCACTCGCCTAGCAGACTTTAGTTCAGTGCCGGGGTGGGCAGTTTTGGGGGTCCGGTGGGAGCCCGCGGGAAGCCTCTTCACTGCCCGCAGATGGGGAGAAGGCCCCCGACCGTAAAACCACAGTGTAAACAATAAAGCCCATACCCAGCCCCAGATGTCTATTGCATGACCTTCGGTCTTTGCTTTGGGTATGAGCGCAGGCCCGCTATGCTCATGCATTCATGGCCTCGAGATCAAGACCTCTTCTAACAGAGGACATGTTTCGTGCCACAAAAACTTCACCACCTCACGCCAACAACACAACCCACCTCTCCTGTTGGTTGCAAAAGCTGTCTGTATGCTCAACATCCCTCAACCACATGCCGATACTGTAAACCTCAACCCCAGAACCCTAGTATGAAACATTCAGCTCTTCTGAGCTTCCTGGTGGCTGATGAATGGCGATTCCAGGTCCGGCAGTCGTGTCGGCGGGCGGAAGCCTCTCTTTTGATAGGACTGCTGATGCTCTCTCTCTCTCTCTCTCTCTCTTTTCTCTTGGTTTGGGGCTTGAGGGTGTGGATGCAGCAGTCAGAGGAAGCGTATACGGCAACACTTCATAGTCAAAGAAGTCTGCACTACCTCGAAGGATTTCGGCTCAGTTCCCAGAGCGGTCTCCGGGTTAAGGGTTTAGGTTGAGGTTTGGCGGTGTTGGGATCACTGCCACACGGAAACTAGCCTGCAACTGCAGGAGTACGAAGCGTCAAAGAATGACCACGCAGTCGAAACGGTGAGAAACATCAAGCAAATCTGATCACAACACCTGGACGGGTGAATGGACAGCTTCGGCGTCTCACATCTTGAGACTTTCAGTTCCGCTGTTTACCTAGACTTAGGGCTTAGAGCATCCAGGTTCGGGGATTTTCCGGCCGGGTAAGCGAACCCCCAGACTAGCTGTTCGAGTCGGCGGCGGAGCTGAATGGCCCGATAGGAACGCAAAGGGGTATGCACATCCCGAAGGACAACCAACATCGCCTCTTGACTGACGACGTCAAGGACGCTTGGAGTATAGCATACCCTCGAAGGCCTAAGCCTTCTCTGCAATCTTGCAACCCCTTTGCAACTGCTTTGCAACAGGCTTGCAACGTCACGCCAGGACAGCTGACTCGCGCCGGGCTGTATCTTGCAACCCTTTTGCAACTAACTACCCTAAACCCTAAACCCTCTGGCCCAGTGACCTGGCAGCTTTGCCACGGCCAAGCGAGCCAGTCCAGCGGCCTCCTGCACTCAATCTCCCCTTTCTGGCGCTTTAGTGCTAAGGGCTTATGCAGCTTGGATTTAGGGGGCTTAAAGTTATGGGGGCAGGGTTTAGGGAATCAAGCCATGAGTGGTTCACCCAGATCCCTGAGGATTCGGCGCTTCAGGCTTTTGAGTCCTGTTGCAGTGCACTCCCGAGTGTCGAATTAAACAGGCTCCCTTGAGAACAGTCTGGCAGCGCATTCTCAGCTTGCAACCTGCAGAAACCTTGTATATAACCTGGATCGGAGCGGCCGGGCATCGCATGCTGTGAAGATCGAAGCTACCGGACGGGGGGAAGGGAAACTGTTGGGTGTTCGGTCGTATTTTCCATGTTGCCCCTCCCGTTTCTGAAAGACAGACTTGGCTGCCTCGCAGCCAAAAACCTGTTAAGGATTCAGACGTACGCTCGGACAGTATCTGGTAGCATAGGAGCTGTCAGGGGATGTCACCTGAATTCTGACCTCTAAAGTACACAAACTTCTCGATTTCAAGCGTCCGGTCACCCTGCAGCGATCTGAGAAAATGCAGTCGAGCATCGAGAACATGCTGAGCATGGGAGTTCGACAGGTTCAAGCCTGAGCGCAGGTTGACACACTATGTTATCGTTACAGCTGTGCCGGCATGAATGCTGAGTATGTTACTAGCATCCACATCGTCTTTTGCGGGATGCTGCCGACATTTCAGAATGTGTGCAGCTTGCCTGCAGAACACTTTCCTTTGCATAGCTGACTCGCACGAAGCCTTCAATCTCGTGATGGTGAAGCCCGACACTGTCAGACCCCAAAGTCTCAAGCGGGATGAGGGATGCATTGGGGCTTCGGGCTGCAGTGCTGAGGGCGAGCTTGGTCAGGCTTTTCATAGAGACTGAAGCCGAACCCCCGCCCCCAAGGGAGCCTTGTTGCATATGCAGGACCAAGCCCTGCTCGTCGTGGACCTGATGGGTCGTGCACCAGCTGAGCCCGGCTGCGATTTCCACGAGCTGCAACCAGAAAATATAGGCAGTTGCATAGCAAACTTGCATAAATGCAGAACTGACATCACTTGTATGGGCGGGTATGTCTGAGGCTATGCTTACAACTAAAAACCGTACAAAAGCCACAAGAACTCAACCTGGTGTTGGCTTTCGGCATTGTTTGAGCTGAGCTGGAGTTACATCTCAAGTTCGTGATAACTGATAGTAGGTCCTGAATCTAATCAGCGCTCAGGCTGCAGGGTTCAAGGCAATCTGCAAAAAGTGACCTGCTGAGATAATGCGAAGGGGCGGTGCGAACGCCACGGCCGCCTGGAGCATCACGTAGAGCAACCAAGAACTGATAGTCCTGCAGCGATACCCAAAGGCTCCATAGTAGTTCCTTTTTGAGATTACCTTATTGTAGGATTCTAAATATAAGCCCCCAAACTGTAGGCAAGACCGGGATCCGAAAGTATTCGGCTTTTCCTTGGCGAAATCTTAAATCCAGTCTGTTCCCAGCACTGAGAAGTAATCTCCCGTCCCCAATCCCAAAGCGTGCAGAGACACAGCCAGCAGCAGGCCACGCAAGCAGCTCGAAATGTGGGCGAAGGTTACATGTAACGCTCCTGCATAGGACTTACGGTTGCTCGGTAAAGAAACCCCTCACGCACCCGTCTAGTCCCAACTCCGCCGACGCTATCCACGTAGAGTGAAATCTGAGTGGCAACGGTTCTTCAGGTCTAGACGTGCACATGAGCTTGTAAGCTAGTACTGAAGATCTACCATAAAGGCAAGTGAGAAACACAAAGGACACGCCAAAATTCCAGTAGAGTTTAAGGTTTAGTAACCTGGCAAGCTGAAGTCTTATTGGCAGTGAGCAGTGCCGTGAGGCTTCGGGTCATGGCAACTAGGATGCTTTCAGGATTGCACGAGCTCGTGGCACGAGTCAAGATGCGGCCAATACGACACAACTCGGACCCAAGTCGGACACATTTGCGACAGTCGGATAAAGCTGAACAGACCTTCAAGTCTAGTCTAATTGCCCACAAACTCACAGAGATTGAGCCTGGGTCCATTTCGACACGCACATTCGCACGGGGCAGGCACGGCTTCATGAGGGTCCGGCTCGAGGCATGGGCAAAACTAAAGCGATGGCACCAGATAGCTTCAATTGTGCGTAACCCGTCTATCCGGACTTCTTCGCCTGAACTCTTCAACACACGCATCCGTCCTCTCCAAAGTGCTCATGCTGGAACGGTCGGCACAGAGCCGCAGTGCGTCGGTAGACGTAGGAGAAGCCATATCCCAAAATCCAACTTTCCTCCACGGTAGGCTTGAGATTTTGGCCGGGGTTTGGTCGCTCCGCATAATAGACAATCTGAGCGAGGTTGGCGGCTCAGCGCCTATGACCGGTCTATGACCCTCTAGATACAGACTAATGTAGTAGCCCTTTCAGATTCCGAAATGCCCTCCAAAAAACAGTTTGGTTTTCGGAGGCACGGCACTAAAGTGAGGTACCGTGATGATCAGTGCTGGAGACAGGACAGGCTTCATGATCTAGGGTCTGCGGCATAGGGTTGTCTAATTGCAGTTGCTGCACGGTGTTTTGAAGGAAACAGGCTCCACAACCCTGGGTCTAAGGCACAAATGTCTTCATGAACATGCAGCAGCATAGGGACACGGCTGTGAATTAATGCAGAAGGTTGTCCAATGCAAACACACCAAAAAGGTCGTAGCACTAAGTCTTCCGAGATCCAGTATTTTGAGTAAAGAGAAACGACGTGAATACAACGTGCCTTTGCGCGCAATAAGGCCAGTCACAAAGACAGTGTAGTTGAAGAAATTTGTCGGTAGTAGTCCTTAGTGGCAGTACTCAGTAGTTGTAGTACCAGTAGTAGTAGTAGTAGTAGTAGTAGTAGTAGTAGTAGTAGTAGTAGTAGTAGTAGTTGTAGTAGTTGTAGTAGTAGTAGTAGTCGTAGTAGCAGCAGCAGCTGTAGAGTAGTAGTAGTAGTAGTAGTAGTAGTAGTAGTAGTAGTAGCAGCAGTAAGTAGTAGGAGAAGGAGTAGGAGTAGGCCTAGGAGTAGCAGTGGCAGTAGCAGTAGGTAGCAGTAGTGGTGGTGGTGGTGGTGGTGGCGGTGGTGGCGGTAGTGGTGGTAGTAGTTGTCGTCGTCTCGTGGTCGTAGTAGGAGGGGGAGGAGGCACGAGGAATAGCAGAAGCAGCATGATATAGATGGTAGTCGCCGTCGCCGTCGTCGACACGACGACGAATACTCAACTTGTATTGCAATTTTACTGCAGAGCACATCACCTCCATGTAGCCACATGCTGCTGCTCTTGACATAGTATGACTATTGACTACTTACTGTGCTACTGGCGCTCAAGTCCCGGCGGTACCGGCTACTACTCGCCTTTAATGACAATGCGGAATGTCATCGTCGTCAACCTACGACGAAGACCATGATTTTGACGATGACAGTGATGGCGGGCATAATGAAATGTAGGATGCTATGCAGAAAGCATACAGATATCAGAGTTGGGTCGGTGCATCTGACTCGTAGCTGGGAGGGAGGATGCATGGGAGAACCCGGAAGGAGACCTAGCCCGTCTTGCAAACTCCCCTCCTCCTGGCATAGGAATCCTGAGTTGCACCCCACAAGTTGCTAGACTAAAGACTAAACAAGCCCTCAACTCTAGCCATTTTACGGCTTGAGCCCGAAGCCCGATCATAAACCTTAGAGGCCCTAATCCCTAAACCCTGAAGGCCCAAACCCTAAACACAGCCCATTGCAGGGCTCCTGCGAGCCGTCATCAGCGGGAACAGCGCGTGCCACCTGGAGACTCCTCCGAACCGAGGTAATTCCCCCAAATCCCTGTAGATTCGAGAAATAATAACAAGAAAAACGAATGTTATCAGTATAGTCTAGTAATCGTTAAAATTGGTAAAGATAACAAGTAGTAGCCCCAACTTAACTGGGGGGCCTGAATGCTGAATCGGGTTTTGGGCAATGCTATACTAGACTATACGCCTGGTCAACAGAAGCCACTCGGGGATGGTCAGCTATAAGCATGGGCATCCACCAACACACACTCTTATCCTCCGGAAACCCATTGAGCTGTGTTATCTGTGTTGGCCGGAAAGAGTGTGGCAACAAACTCCCGATAGGTGTGAACGACGCACATCCGACCACGATTCCAGAGGCTTCCGAGGTCATCCACCGGCCTAACTTCCACCTACGCTGCGAGACATGGCTTGTCGGTCCGGCAGCTATGTGAGCTGTTTCCACCAACTCCCAAACCTACGAGACAGAGTCTCGAAGGAATTATCGCAAGCTGCCGTAGCAAAAGGTTCTGTTGGCCGAACGATATGTCGGAGCCCTGCTTTGTGTTTTTTCTGTTTCTCTCTCTCCCTCTCCGTCCCGCTCTCTCCCTCTCTCTCTCTCGTCTGTTGCTCTCGTGCGAATGACCTCGAAGCATGTCACGTACAGCATGCCATTACAACAAACCTCTTGAAATCGATGCCGTTGCTGTGAAGAGCGTGCGATATGGGTTTCGATAGCAGGGTATATTCACTAGTGGCAAAACAAACGACAGTAATTGTGGTCGCAAAAAAGCAATATCCACAAACAAAAGTGGTTTGTTAAAGGTGAAAGTCATCGAAGCAGCACATCGCAAAGGCGAACACGGCTCAAAACAATCAGACTGACAAACATCGAAGAATCAATCTGACGACCAGCGATGACAAGACCAACGACAGCAATAGGTAAACCCAACAAGCCAAGGATGGCACCGATCGCTCGCATGTTTCAAGAAACAAGGCCATGTACAGGCTTGCACATGCCGGGGCCCTGAAGTAGTGGATTCAGTCCATACCTGGATGACTCCCAGTAAGGACGGGTTTTGGGTCTTGACACAAATCCTCCAACCCATCCCCTTGGCTAGCCAAGTAGCGAGGCCCGTGCAGGCATCGCCGACGAACCAGCTTGCCAGTGTCACCGCATCGGCACCTTTTGAAACTCCAGTTCTCGTATGTTTATGCCTCTTGGCGGCACCAGGTTCCCATAGGTCATGCTAGGATGTACAAATGCTGCTTGACCGCGTGTTGCACGAGCACCAGCATTTGGCTGGACTGCCGGCAGAAGCAGACAGCAGTTCAAGCTGCAGTAGGAGAACCTAGAGTCTGTTGGGTGCGGGGGGGGGGGGGAGTTGGTTACGGTGTCAGCTTTGCGCTTAAAGTAGGAGCACAGTGGGGGTCCCAAATATCATGGAATCCGTTCCGAAAATCATCTCAATGCTTTGTTCAGCTTACCAGTTTACCATCCCAAGCCCAGAGACTACGAAGTGATAAAACCCTATCGGATGTCCATCGCCTGAATCCTCTTGGGGAAACGTCTGCATTAAAGAGAAAGGCGAAGAGGAGACCTCCCATGGACTCGATCATCTTTGTCAGGTACTCTGGAGCATAGAGGTCCTCAAGGCATTCACGGCAGACCAGACTTCTTCCTACTAGTAAAGATCGATTGCTCTGTTCCTGTCCTCAAGTTTTCCTTCTGCTACGACAGGTGCCATGTCCGCTTGTCTGTTGCCTTGTTGTTGTTGTTGTCGTCATGCCCTGTCGTCATCTGGAGATAGAGTTCTATGCGGTTTAAGTGCGGGCTTTGCAGCCAAGAGTATCTCAGATCTCATTGGATTGGATCCCTCAGCTTTGGTCAGGGGCCTGTTGGTCCCCGAGATTCGTTTGTCAAATACTGATAGATCACCTGAAATCCTACGCGCGCCAGGCCCGAAACCTCGATAGCTGCGACGTCTGAAGATGAACAACCTATCTCACAAAATGAGGACTCACCGTTCTCACCCTGTGCCCCGAATTGGAGTTCGTAGGAACGTTGACTCTGTGGCAAGCTTCGTGTTGCGGCTCAACACCCATGCCTTCAACCCAGAAGCCCAGCACGACTTACTTCCGGTGCTAGTTGCATCGTCGTCGAAGTGGGCGATGGTCGCGCCCGAGGCGCAAGCAATGGCAAGGTTCCGTTTCCTTTAGCCATCAAAAGCCCCGATGTCTTAAAGCTGCAGCTGGGTGCCCAAAGTATGAGATTCAGATTTTTGATGGACTCTGCCTAAATTCGGAGCTTCTAGAGTTTGCAGGTGGCCCGCGGCTTACGGGATCTCGTTTTAGCCCCCATGCAGTCCTAAATGCTACTGCTACAGTTAAATTATTGAAAAATTATCTTCCACGGTTTGGCCTGCACAAGGTTGGGCTTGAGGTATGTTTTAATTCATACTGGATCTCCGCATCTACGACTTTATCAGGCCAAGTTCAGTGCTACAGCCCTTGCTGTAGCGGCCAGGGTAAGTCTCAATCATTCCTTTAGACACGATTCAATAGACCTGGAAAAGTCCCACTAACACCCACCCACAAGCACACAACACATACACAGACGCAATCGCTCCCTGTCTCTCTCTCTCTCTCTCTCTCTCTCTCTCTCTCTTGTGCTTGCTTGCTTGCTAGGTGTAGGGGGGCGAACCGTCTCTCTGTCTCTCTCTCGCTCGCTCGCTTGCTCGCCTGGAAAACAAACACCTTACCTAAGAAAGACTGCAACCTCGTCCCTCCGTCGCTCTCTATGACTGACTGTCGCTCGTTCTCGCTCTGTCCCTCTCCAAGTGGCAAGAGTATATACACATACACATACAGGCATGCATACACACATACATAGCTTCCACACAAATACACACGAAGTAGATTACGGCCCTTAGGCGGTGGAGTTCGAGCTCATGGGTTCCCAAATTCAGCAAGCTCCCAGGACTCTGCCATGGCTCAAACCCACGGGCCACTCGCGACCCTCATCATGGTGGTGCCGGTAAATCACCCGCGGATCCTCCGAGCAAGCAATTGTTGTTAGCCTAAGGCCTATGTCTTCGCTTGCCCAACAAAACTCCGAGCTTCGAGAAGAGTCTGTGTCAAGGGGCTGAAAAGAAGGACAACTTATAGAAAAAAGCTTTTGGTCTTACTCCAAGACTTGGCATGGTTTGGTTGTGGTGCGCTGGGGTTTGGACTCTAGGAACAGAGCTTATCTTAAGGAGCTTGCGAACTGTGCAGGGAAAGAAACGTAAAAGCCAAAGCCGCACGCGCACAGCCATGGTGCTTGTCATAAACTGAGTAAATGACTCGGCCGCCGTAACTAAACGACACTCACGCTGTGACAACCCAGCTCAGCGCAGACATCAATGCGGTTGAGCAATAAGCTGTCTTGCTATGGCCCTGAAGCCCCCTAAACCCAACTATTCAACCCTCAGCCGATGCCCAAAGCCCTACTACTACCAACTACCGAGCCCACAGCCCCGAAGGCTTGGCAGACAGAGTCTGAACTCGCCTTAGCTGCAAAACTGGGAACTCTCCGGCTCTAAACCCTCGGGTTCAATCAACGACACACGTTCTTGTAGAGATGCTGGCATGTTACCGTGGAGATCATGACCAATTAGAAGACAGCAATGCTAGCAATCTTACTGACAGCAATCATAACAGTTGTTGTTAATAAGAAAGAAAATAAGAAAACAGAAGACGGGTCCGAAACGCAAAGCCTGCAAACATGACACTAAATTAAGACACCTCAGCAAAACTAAACCCTGGACTGACCTTTTCAATCCGAAGACTCGGATCGAAGAACGTCCTACTCGGAGGACCATGGGACTTAGTAAGTAAGGTTATGAGTACCTTAATCTAATTGGGGTTATAAATATAGCTTCCCTAATTATAACCCTAGTTACTAAGTCCCATGATCCTTTAAGTAGGAAGCAAACCCACAGGGGCCAAGTCTTACGAACTCTCCCTCAACCCTTCCAATGCCCTACAAGGCCTAACCTGAAAGCCTTCCTACACCCTCCATCTACCCTCTACTAGACCCTAAATGCCCGTTATTTGGGACCATCTACCCCTATTTGAGGGAACAAGGAGGGTCCTGGTTACTTAAAGGATCCTGGGACTTAGTAACTAGGGTTATAATTAAGGTAACTATACTTATAACACCAATTAAGGTACTTGTAACCTTACTTACTAAGTCCCATGGTCCTCCAAGTATCAGCCCCAAAAGCCCCGTAACACTAAACCCAAAAGCCTAAATCAAAAACCCAAAACCCAAAAGATCCCTTAGAGTACCCTTATGGATCCCTTTAAAGGAGCCCTTATAAACCCTTATCAGCCCCAAAAGCACCAGAAAAGGCCCCCCTTCGAGAGCCTCCAAGGCCTTCGATTTGAGGAAAGGCGAGGATCGGGGGCCGGTGTCGATCACGACGAGCTCCTGTCGAGGTTCCATAATTATTACTATTATTTGCTAGTACTACTAATTACCATTACTATTATTACTATTACTACTATTATTACTATTATTACAATTATTGCCAATATTGTTATTATTCTTCTTCTTATTATTATTGCTATTACTATTACTATTAATATGACATTTAGGTTTCCGAAAATTAGGGGTACCGTATTTTGGGGGGGTCCATATAATAAGGATCCTACTTTTAAGGGTACTCTATTGGGGTCCCTATTTTCGGAAACTCCCACATAATGCAATGTACTATTTAGGGTTTACTGTCCGGCTTTGGGGCATTGGGCAGTACTGTATAGTTTGTAGGCCTGGGGCTTTCGACACTTACACTTGGACATGTCCGTACAGATACGAGAAAGTCGAAACGTGAGAAGCCCCGTCACACGACCAAGAACAAATAAGCGAAAGGTGGAAATTACCGCAACGAGGGCAGCCCCACAAGCATACTGTAAGGCAAGGATTGCCGACCTGCTGCACCGCTAATCATCCAGCACAAGTTTATGTCAACAGAAAGATGAAGGCAACACCCAGCTCCCAAAACTTTCCAATCCGGAAGCCAAGATTCTGCACTCTAACCAGCTTATGCCGCAAATCATGCTCGGCTAAACCCTCAAACTATACACATAGAAACCAACGTGTCCGCTTTCTAGGGCTTCGTGCTGCAGGCAAATCAGACCCCAAACGCTCGAGCATGAACCCTACGCCTCGGTTCCTCAACCCCATACCCCGAACCGAAACCGACCAGGGCCTTGTCCTTCCACGTCTGCGCCACGAAGCAGTCATACCTTCCAAGTTTCATTACAGAATCTACTGCATAAGGCTTCCTTGAGCATTCCTTTCGACGGGGTCTAGACGGATTACTACCAGGGCTACCATAATTAACACCAAACAACCCAGAGTAGCCCTGAGCACTTGACACATCAAGACCTTCAACCCAAAGCCAGAACGAGCTGTGAATAGTCACTGGGACCCGGACCCTATACCACTGGTCGTGGGAATCTGGGTCGGGTGTTTATGATGGGCATACCTGAATTATGCCGGGTTGGGCCTGAACCTGTACCAAAAAGACATCAAAGCACATACACAGATCAGCCAGCCCGAGTGCCGGGTTTTGTGTGATCACACAAACGGTCCCTCTTAAGATGAAGGCAGTTCTGCCCGCACCTCCGGCCAAGAACCTGTTTTGCGTTGGCTGAAACTCCTCCGCACCCTCCCTCTGTGTATGCAGGCGTCAAGCACGCAAAGCTGTGGCTACAGTTGCAGCGAACACGTATGGCAAACGTGCACGGCATGACGCTGAATACGTTTTCCGTTATCTACTCTACACGTATATAGATGAACAACATGCCTGAATTCAATCCCAAACTCACGTGCAAGAGAGGACACCGTGTTGTTGAATTGTTGATCCCGTTCTGGGATGTTGCTGCTACTGTAGACCCCTGACTGGCAAACGCCCTTACCTCGATACGGCTTACGACAGCGATCCTAATTTAATGAAAGTGATCTTTCTTCCCCAAATTCTGGCCGGCTGGATTCACTACGAACCCCTAAACACGCAAGTTCAAATCCCTAAACCCTAATGCCAGAATCCTCTCAGAGGCGCAGCTGCGGGTGGAACAGGATCCGCTCGTCCGTGGTGGGGCAGATGACACTGACCCGATGCCTTCTTCAGGATTGATACCCAGTTGGGGCGGTCCGTTTTAGGGTCCTCATTCTGTGTCTGTCAGGGTTTCGAAAACAGTACCTAGTTCAGAGAATTACACCTAAAAACAAGCGTGAATGTGCATGCATGTAGTAAAGCAAGGAATGCGTCTTCCTTATGCAAAGCCGATAGAGGTGAAGAGCGATATGCCCAAATAACTTAAAATCTGAACCTCAATCCCTCATGTAGTTCCGCAGGGCTAGTAGGTTATCGTCGTGGTAGCCGTAGTGGTTGTCGTCGTGGTCGGTAGTTGATGGTTACTGGCTGATGCCACTATTATGTGGTAGCAGCAGGAGGACGGCGACGTCGGTCTACATCCCCAAACCCCAAATCCCGCTCCGAGTCGAATCAGCCTGTGCTCCTTGTCGGCATAGAGGAGCTCGGGGAGGTCGCTCCGAAATTCTCGAAGCC